TTTCATTTTTTCATGTACCAGTGAAAGAAAAAGATTGTTCACTCCCTGAAATGTACACAAGGTTTATAAAGTAAACACACCTTACAGTTTCTTTCAAAGCTTAAGGTGTCTTCACTTTCCTTCTCAAATTGATTAAATTTAACTCATCAAGTTAAAACAAAGAAAATCACAACCATGAGGGAGGTTTGGATAGCCGGTCTTAATTAGCATAGATTTGACGAGTTTACTTCTCCATTTACTCCTTAGTTTTTGTTTCAGTTGAGAAGATAATTATCAAACACTCAAGACAGTGTTTCATTGGCTTTCCAAACACCTCAAATTTCATCAAAAATACTTCGCTGCGTGTCACATTTTCAACTCTCTTCTTGGTGTTTGGATTTCCCATTGAAACATTATCTCTTGTGTTTGATATATTACTTAAAAGCTGGGCATGGAACTTTTCTTTCCGAAGGAAGGTGTTCCTGCTTGCACCATTCTCATAATATATGGCAACGCAATTTATAATGGTGCATACTTTTTTTGGTAAATCACTATCACCGCCATCCGATGTGGCCATAACTGGCCAAAACAAGCCAAACGCTCTAGAAAAGGTCATAAGTTCAGAAAAATTAGAAAGGATCGGGAAGTCAAAATTACAGACACAAGTGTCGAAATGACAGAAAAGCTGACAGATGTCATTGATGTTAAAAGATCACAATAGGACTTAAAAACCTCATTCACGTTTGACAAAACCTGACAAGGTACAGAGCTGTTGCTATTAGTTATTTGAAACCTGACACAGCTATACGCACAGAGGGATGGTTTCTGCCAGCTTGTGGGGTTTTTTGCTGGCCAATTTATGAGGTCATGTAAGAATTGAAATCCTGTATCCCACTCTGTTCCCCTTGTGAATCTCGCATCACAACCCTATAAAAACACAAAATCCTGCTCCCGCTCGTAATTGAAATTCCTGCTTCCTGCCCCTGTTTTCAGCCCAAATCCTGAATATCACCATGAAGAAAGGCCAAATCCCGCATCCCACCAAACCTATTGTGGACCCTCATTGAGTACAAAGTGTCATCAGCTGGAATATTGCTTATCCCTTTTGATAGTGTTCACTCCCAGCATTATTGTCAAAAGTTTCCAAAACAATTTTCAGCTGAAGGCATGTGCATACCCATAGATACCCTGATACCAAAGTAATGTTAACAGCTGTTTATTAAGTACACAGTAATATGTGTTTTAGGGCTGCAACTTGTTCGAGACATTACTTCTGGAAAACTTAATGGTGACAAAATTGGTTCCACATCAGTGACTCTCCTTCCTTCAAGTATT